TGTCTTTTTCCAAACAAAATTATATGCTTGTCAAACATTGTATCCAATTGTTTATATTTTGTATTCTAACAACAGAGCTTTAGATGTTTAAGACATGTGAAATTAATTAATTGCAAAACTTTGATGCTTATTTCAAATGACACTTTGCCATTTATATCAAAGGTCAACTTCTGACAACCATTAACATAGTGCTTTGTAAGTACATACATACATACATATATCAAAATTCTTCACACAGAAATCGCTTTTAATACATTATTCCTTTAGATGAATGTATAACAAGATCTATAAGATGGCCAGGACATTACACATTCAGGGCTCGAAAATGTTTCCAAATTGAAGTCAGCAGCACTCAGAATTTAGGAAATACGAACAATTCTGAAAACTGTTCAGAAAAAAACTATTGCCATTATTTCTTTTTTTAGGTGTACTTCATACATGGTAGGTGGTAACCAGTGCAGGTTAGGTACAGGTAGACATCAGAAATACCTGCACAGCTCCAATTTTACCTGCATATGCAGGACCTGGTGGTATTTCCAGCCCTGACAGCATGATTATACCAGACAAATGCACACAATCCTTTAATGTGTCTTGAATGTATGGTTGTATGTATAGTGTATAAGGTATTCCTTACCTCGTCAGCCACAGACTGGTTGTTAGGGTCCAGCTGTAGTACCTTCTGGTACGTACTGATAGCCTGGCTGGGATCTCCTAACATCAACAGACACTTTGCCTCCCTCATGTAACCCTACAAAATATGACACAATATCATCAAAATTATTGAATTAATCCTATATCTTTGTTATCATTTCATGTCCAATGGCAAGCAAACAATCAACATACATGTGAGTGTGTACATAAAAGGGTGTAATCATTTAAAAGGGTGTCCTGAATACATGCATGCACACGCAAGCACATACACAAACACAAATACACACACATGAATACACACACACGAATACACACATACACACAAACATATATGTGCACACAGTTACAAACATACATACTCAGACACACACACACACACACACACACACACACACACATGCACACACACAACACATACATACAGACATGAACACAGCCAGCTGTATAAAATACAATAACAGCAGGTGAAAACAAAGTAAAAAAGTGCTTTAAACTAAGACATTTTAAGGCATCTGTGTTACCTGACCCAGAACAAATTGCAATAGTCTGTTTATGAACAACTGCCCTCCCTTCAAACATTACTCATTCTATCTCAGTATCATTCTCAAAACATACATTATACATGTATAGTGTATGTAGGAAAACCAGATAGCAGTTGTTGTATAGTCTCCGAAATTACCAGGCCATTTTGATGTGTACACAAATGTCTTAAGAAGTGTGGAAAATCACAAATTAGAGGAATATTTAAGACTTGAGCACAATTTAATCAGCAATGCACCACAAAGGACCATAGCCTTTAGCTAGTTGGCAAGCCTTTGCTTCATGTCAGCCATACATGTACTATAAAATCCAACAGACTGTACAGTATGTTCCCTTGGGCATCTGATACTAAACATACCACAAAGCCGTATTGAATAACACATGCAATGACAATCTACATTTAACAGCAATGTGTGCAATCTATGCCAATACCAAACATCATTTTGAAAGAACTCCAGATTAAGTTATCAATTTGTAGTTTTACTCTACTCAAAGTGTGCATGTAGATACATTTGTACGTGCATGGTATGTTTGGGAGTTTCCTTGATTGCAGTTTTCATGGGTCAGAGCTTGGGTCACGTTGTCTACTTGTCGGTAAGAGAATGAACAAGTCTGACTGGTCTATCATTCACAGACAGCAAAACAAACAAAACCCTTTACCAAATTAAAGGATTTAAGACAACTTAGAGTGTATTAAGTGTAAAACAATGTGCAATGACACGTGTGCACTGCTACAAAGTTAAGGCTTGAACGTGGCGTGCAGTTTTACAATGTAGATGACATTAAAATTGTGTCATTGTTGCCCCCCTCCCACTAAGAAAAAGTGATAACCTACAGACTACACAAGCAACCAACTTGAACATTTATAGGTGGCCATATTTTTAAACTGGGGCTTCTGAAATGGACTTTTGTTTCTGTTATGCTGAAATTACAGGTTATTAACTTTACCTCCTACCAATATAATTACTGGGTGTCATCTCAAATAGTAGACAATGAGGTCTTACAAAGGCGAGTTATAGCCACCAAAGTACCAGCACAATGTTTATGAAGTGTTAAACTTACCAACCCTTGCAGCCTTCCAAAAGGTATATTTCTCACCTTTAGTAGTGCCAATGAGCAAAATTATGCTCCTCGACTACAGGTTATTTTGACACTCACAAGCATATTTCTTCATGTAATAAGAACTTTCAAGAATTATGTAGTGAACTAGGAATGGAAAATTTGGAAGACCTTACAAGACAACTCACCTTGAGGAAGTTGGGGTCTATTCTTGTGGTCTGTCGTGCATCCTCCAAACCTTCTCTGAACTTCCCCAACATGATGTAACAGGCAGCTCGGTTGCTATAGTAACTCGCACATGTCGGGCACAGTTCTGCAAGAATAACAGATAGGGGATACTGCTAAACCAAAAGCTATGTCTGTGGTTTATTGTGGTTTATTGTGGAAAAACTCTCCTTTAGCTACCCATCTGTGGGTGACAGCTATTCTTCCAGGAGAGACTGGAGTACATAAAACAAATTACAATAATCTACATATAATTAATGTTACATTACATCTACTTATAGTGCTGTTTGTTTTTTATTTGTCTAGCTATAGTTTAAAGGTATTCCGATTGCATTCTGTAGCTTTTCAACTACAAGAAGTAGCATTCATTCAGTTCACAATTCTAAAAATTGATCTTTGCAAAAATGTCTGCCACACTACAAGCCAAGCCTACTGTATGAAATCAGATAAGCACCTACAGATATCATCATTCACACTTAAGTTCAGTTAAACAAAAGAGACAAATCCAAGCATCTCTGTTGAATTTTTAAATATGATAAACCTCAGTCCTCCATATTGATGACCTTGAAAAGCACTAAGGCTTCTATAAGGGACAGTGGACAATGACCTTCCAATAGCTAAATTCCCTTACATTATTCACTGACAATACTTACATCATTGCATAATATTTACTGTGACATAGACATCTTAAAAAAAAATTCTCTGGACCTGCACACTTAACTAGAGTAATACGTTGGCGACTCCAAAGCCCTTTACCCATGGACCAGTTGAAGAATTTGCCAATGATCTTCCAATATCTGAATTCCCTTACATTATTCACTGACAATACTTAAATCATTGCATAATATTTACTGTGACATAGACATCTTTTGAAAAAAGACCTGTACTCTTAACTAGAGCAATAATTTAGTGACTTCAAAGCCCTCTAGCTATGGACCATTCAAACAATTTCTAAGAAGTCAGCTGACTGTCCCAATATGTGGTTATTGGTTTGCTGACACCAGGTTTGGATCAATCACAAAGACAATAGGCTTCTATTCTCAAACTATCTCTTCAAGGACATTCCCATGTGAAATCTGAATAATATATGAGAGTAATGTTCTGATCTGACGATAGATAAAAGACCTGCTATAGGATGCCTTACTTGTACATGTATGTAAATACGTGTACCTTCTCATCTGTACACAACATACATGTAATTACGGAATTACGGTTGTGGCTAATTCTATGTGTTATCATGTCATAAACATGCCCAAACCCTTCCACAACCCTATAGATTATCCAAGTGAAGACTATAACCTTGGTTTCAGACAAGGAACATTCATGGAGTGAATCTTGAAATGATTTCTTGAAATTTTTCTATTTGCCTACATTACTACATGTACCTACAAATAAAAGTTGTAGTTGTATTCAGCCTCCCAAAAACTATTGCAATGCCTCCCTAAAATATCCCTACATGCAACATGAGCAAGCATATCAGAAACACTTCACATGGCAACATGTATATCATGGAAGTGCTCTACAACTAAACGGTAACTGTTTCATATACACGGTACATACTGTTCCTTAGTACACTGGGGTCATGATCATGAAGTACATGGATATGATAAGGGCTTGCATAATCCAATACTGAAAAAGATTACATATTACGTGTATGACTTCACAAATGACAAATTTCAGACACTGTCTTTTATAACCCAAATGTATTAAGATTTTCCCAAATCCTCTGAGCTTATGGCAATGCACGGCAATGTCATCTGACGGTCATAGCAGTCATCTTATTACACAACTATATCTCAGCCATTTATGATATCCCAGGTAGCAATAACATTAATAAGGAATGATGCAGAGCTACAAAATGTAACCATATTTGCAACTCATGCTGTTATTGTGTGTATTGCAAAGGATATGTGGACAAAAATGTGATCATATTCTTCAAGTTAATGTATCCCATAGCTGTGCAATAAGAATCTAATGGGAGATCCTTCTACCTTTTATTACATAACAAGATTACATACCAAATGGGCTCATTATATGGTAGTCTGTGGCTTAAGACACACACACACAAACTCTACCAAAAACATAGCCTTCTTGGTGAAGGTAATAATTAGGTGAGTCTACCATCAAATTGAGTGTAGGTATGATGTTGCACCACAATATCTATGTTGCCCATCCCAATGTAAAGATCGCCCCTTCTTTTCCTTATCACACGGATGTACAGACAATACCCCGAGGGCATACATGATTCATATGCTAAGACTGTAACCTATCCCATATAACACAGCAACAGTACAGGTCACGTAACAATACAGCTGGTTCTCCAGAATAATATTTCTGTCCAAAATCAAACAAAATAGTACTTTCCAATGTTAGAATTCCAAAATATTATTTTGATATTCGTGTGTATGGATAATTTTTTTGAATCCTGCAAGGAAAGGATGCATGGGAGTATTACAATGAAAACTAATTGAGTTGTAGGAGTTATTACTCATTCTGAGTGGGAGGGAAATGCCATCACGATTTCCACAGGTAAACTGCAAGGTCAAGATACTGGGGGATGGGGGTGCAAGAATATACAGGGTTAACTTATAGCTTAATAATAGTATTGCAACTTGAATAAAGTCTGCTACATATTTTTGGGGTATCAAACAGATAGACTATCTAGTATAATAATAAATAAAACTTATACCTGTAGAAACTAACAGGTATGTAAATTTTTAACAGAACCCCCCTCCCTCTCCAAAAAATGTATGTTCTGAAATCATGTCTATCCAAAAATCATGTATAAATGTATGTGAAATGTTAAAATGTCCACCTCACCTATAGCCTTACTCAATGGCTCCACTGCCTTCTCAAACTGCCTGTGTTTCAGGTAGGTGTGAGCTAGCTGGACGAAAACATCTGTCCGCTTTAAGTCTGCGTAGGACAGTCCGTTGTCCATTTCAACAACATTCGCCTGTCCATCGGATTCCTGTGGGAAATCAAAGTCTGGTTCTTGATCCTGATTGTTGATGTATTTTCCATTTTGTGTTTGGTTTTGTTGTTTTCTTGGACTGAAAGTATTGTCTCCAGCATTTTGTGTTTGGTTTTGTTGTTTTCTAGGACTGAAAGTATTGTCTCTGTCATCCCTAGCTTCTTGTACATTAGGATGAAAGCCACTTGGTCTTCCACTGTCACTTCCAACATCCTGGTTTTCATACAGGCTTTGCAAGAACTCAGTAGCTGAGGGTCCCCAGCCTTGTCTGCTATCTGCTTTAAATGTGCGACGAAAGT